AACAGTTTGTATCAAACTAAAATTTATCTGTTCTTTATTATTGATATTTATCAAATTTAGACTTATTTGTGAGCTAAAAACCCTCTCACAGGGAACAATATTCATTTTAAAGACGTTCTTAGTGCCCCCTCGTGACAGCCTGAGGAACTGCATCTCAATAACAACAAAGTACAAAATCTGTGTCTGTTAGCAAAATATCTCGTGAACCATTTGGTAGATTTAAGTTAATTTTTTAGAAATTAATCGTTTAATTTTAGTCTCCAAAATGTTTAACTTTTGGAGAGAACCATATTTAAGATGGCCACTGCATTCAATTGTTTTTAGAAAACACAAAAACGTCTAAAACTCAGTTTGTTTTACAGATAAGGAGCTAAAATTTGGTGTGGTAGTAGCTGAGRCGGCTCCTCCACACACACTCTGAGCACTAACAGATCATTCAACATTATGTAGTTTCTGACATAAAGTTATTTATGTTCAACTAAAACTGTTCAAACTTCGCCTCATTTTAAGTTAAACTAAAACTGTCATTTTAAACTTTTATCTGTTTCGGTTTGTGTGAAATGTTGTCTGCAAGTACAGACCGTATAATAAGTTCTGTTTATTATTAAACAGGTTTTACTGCAGAGATGAAAAAGGATGTTTGGTGACTTTWAAGACAAAAAGCAGCTTCACAGAGCTGCTGCCTCTTCTCTGAGGGACAAATAATTCACACGTTTCCCTTTAAAGCTCTGACTGGTTCATGGACAAATTACTCTTGAAAAGAGAAGAACAAACAAACCAGATCCAAAGAGCGGATCAGAACCAGAACCTCAGGAAGCTGATTTCCACTCCGAGTGTAAAAGTTTATTAGGAGCTGTTTGAACGAAGAGTTTCCATCCAGACGTGGTGAAGGTCGGTGGAAAGTTTCCCTGCAGAAACCAGAACCATCTGCTCTGACAGAACCAATAAAACATTTAAATCATGTTTKGTTTTGTAGTAAAGAAGTTCTGGCTTTTTATCAAAGTACCACAAAGTCATACTTGAGTAAAAGTATCTTACCAAAATATTACTTTGGTAAAAGTTAAAGTCTCCTTTAGGAATATTACTTGAGTAAAAGTCTTAAAGTATCTGATATTTTTTGTACTTAAGTATTAAAAGTCAAAGTATTGATTTAAAATGAGCAGTTTTATAAGTACAGATACAAAAAAAATATTTGTAGWTACTACAACTCTGCAGTGGAGCAGAGATGAGCAGGACCTTCTCAATGTTCTACAGAAGGAATGGGCAGTAAAACCCAGAAACACTCAATCCTGTGGAAAAAGCTTCCAGAAGGAGCAGAAACCAGAGACCAGCTCTGGACCAACTGGTCTGTTTGGGTCAGGTGTGGTTAAAGCCCATCATCAGCTGTTTATGTTTACACATTTCACATCAAACTAAATATTTACACATTTAGGATCAATCTAAAGCCTGTAGAATCAAATAAAGTTAAATTTGCTTCATCTATGAACACGTAATAAAAATCATTACTACTAATGGATCAAATGAAAAAGCTACATTTAGCTTTAAGCTAGCATTTCCAGACAGCAGTTTGAACGGACTGGTGCACCCGAGCAACAACGCCACGATGAAGGAGGGGGGTGGGGGTGTGGGGCGGTAAATGTTTAGGTTTTATCTGTTTGCAGGTTCCTGGACCACCATGTGCGAGGAGCGCCTGTTTTTGGGGTCGCCACTTCTCAGCTCAGGAGGATCTGTGGCTCAGTCTGCTCAGAAAGGTGGGCAGAGAACCTGTTTACCTGCAGCAAGGTGGGTGTAGAACCTGTTTACCTGTAGCAAGGTGGGTGTAGAACCTGTTTAGCTGTAGCAAGGTGGGTGTAGAACC